ACCTCCTTATCCCTGCCCCCCCCCCCCCTCCCCCCGCCACATAACCATTAGAGAATATAAACAAATCATATATAGAGCATATGGGAGTGATTCTGAATACTTTGTAATGTGGATAAAAAGGGAATTTGATACTCTCTAACAGCAGTAGTAAGCAGACATGAAAATTCTTCCATTAAAACGGTAAAAAGATAAAGGGGACAGTGGGTCACCCTGTCTAAGACCTTTTCTAGTAGGAAAATACAAGCCCCCATTAAATGACACACTAAGCATAGGGGTGGACACACATACCTTAATGAGTTGAATAAATTTCAATGGTAATCTTATAGCTTGAAGGACTATAAACATAAATTTCCAACTAACATAATCAAAGATTTCATCAAATTCACTTTCAACACATATCTAGCCGTAACAATAGCTTTATGATAGTCTTTCACAAGTTCTGTAGCCATCAAAGTGTTATCACTTATCAAACGTACTTCCATAGAAGCTGATTGTGCTATGTCTATAAGTTTTGGCAGCACAAGAGAAGTTCTATTTGCTAGCAACTTTGAAATGACCTTATATAAGACTTTCATGAACCCAAAACCTCTGTGTCCATCGATGGATCTTGAAAAGCTAGGAGGTGCAGAGAGAAACTGCCCAACGAACACATTCCTCAATCGACCTACGCTTCTTCTCGAACCGACTGAGGAATAACCAGTTTAGCATCAACCAGTGTAGGGTGAACCAACTGCAACCTAGTACTCTCCCCAACCCAAAACAATTGTGCCCAATTCTATGGAGGATTGGTCGGTTCGGTCATCCCCGTCGATCAAAGAAACTAGGGTTCCTCTGAAAGTTGAGAGAGAGAAGAGAGAAAGGAGATCATTTTGTTTGAGAAATATTTTCAAATGTAGTGATTGAGTCCCAACTTAGTTGAAGAGGCGCAGAAGCAACACCATACAATCTCAAGCAATGCTCTCTCCATGTAAGGACTACATTTGCATCAACATACTGACCACACTAATGAAGCACACTTACAAACAACAATAAATTCCATTCAACAAGGCTTCTGTGGGGTGCTATTTCCTGCAAACAATCCTCAACATATGTTTGATAATAATAATAAAAACTTACCAGAAGGCACCACACATCCCATAAGCAAACTTACCCCACGCCAATAGCTTGTCATGTATTGTAAGTATATGAGGGATGGCTAACCAGATTATGAAACCATGTCCAGGAATCATACCTCTAACCCAAACCAGAGGGTGCAAACTAACCTCTAACCCATCAGGTCTGAGATAATTCAATACTTATTTGAAAACCACTTCAGACTATCCCCATACCATGCGATTGAATCCAATGAACCTAATATGGACTCTCGAGCATAGCCATGATACTTCGGAACTCTATTTCACATCCATATCCCTAGTGAGGTTGCACCTAAATCCCAAATATATTTTTGTTGGATACGATATCTATAAACCCAACCACCCAAAGAGACCCATCCTCTGCCAAAATATCCCATAAATTCCTTCTTACACACGCCTGACTCCATAGCCTGAAATTTAACACTCCCAGAAGACCTTCCTTCTTGGATCTAGCCAAGAATTGGCAATACTGACCACAGGAATGGTAGCACAGACCTTCAAAAACTTAGTAAACCTCTCAAGAAACCCCATTGCATATAACACAATGAATAAAAAATCCAAATTAACTGAATGAAAGGCCTTCATAAGATCAATTTTGATAGCGCAACATGAAAAAAATGAAAGCTTCATTATAATCCTTTGCTAATTTTGATGCTAACAAAATTTTGTCACTAATAGACTTCTCAAGAAAAAGCGTATTGCGTGCTATTAATTACCTTTGAAAGAACTTAAACAAGCATATCAAAAATTGGCTTGGATATCACTTTATAGAGTGTGTTGCATCGCGATATAGGTCTGAATTCTTTCATACAATATACAGATTATAGTGTTGGTCTCTCAATAAATATGACCAGAATTAAAAATATTAAGAAACAAACTTTTAAACCTCTCTGCCAATAATATACCAATGGGTGTGATACAATTTGGCTTGAAAACCATGAGGCCCTAGAGCCTTGTTTTTACTGATATCCTTGGTAAACTAAAAATGTTGTATTTCCTTCCTTGTCACAACAGTGTAAAAACCATAAAATCTTAAGGTTACAATCGATAGAATTCCACAGGATTTAGTTCAACTTCAGAATTAGCCTTCTAATTAACTTCATGTGAATATCAACAGCTACTAGAGTCATCTCATGTCGATATGTCACTATATTTCTTTTTGAGTTTCAATCACTCTAGTTATCTTCGGCTTGTGCGTTTGAATTCTAAGAGAACTACGGGGGAAAAAAAAGCAGTATTGGAGTCCCCTTCTTAACCCCACTAACACTATGTTTGGGAAAAGGGGTAAATGGGAGGAGGGTGCAAATGTGAGGGGTAAACACAGTTTCCAACACATTTGCATCTGTTTGGTTAATTTGGAACAGTAGGGGGGTGCAAAACGGGAGTGCAAATTTACTGTTTCGGCTTACCCCCCGAATTGGGGTGCAAGGGAAGGAAGGAAGAGAGAGGGAGGGAGGGGGGATTATGGAATTTTATTTTTCTAATTGTGTTATATATAATTATATAATAATTAATATTATCAATTTCTTCTTTTTATAAAATCATTAATGTAAACATTATTCGGGGTTGACCATTTGACTCTGGAAACAAGTTTATCAATGTTCGTCAAGTCAAATCTAGATATCTTGGTTGAAATGAATTTGCATTGAAAATTAGAGATACGGGGTGTTTGTGGAAAAGATAGAGAGAAATTGTTTGGTTAACTCAGTTTATTTGACTAAATAGTTAAAACTTACAAATTCGAACGTGTTTGACTAAGTTTGACAATTTAAGATTAAACTAGACACGAAAACCCATATAGGATGACCAGTTACGAGTTGAGCTTCGAGTTTTGAGATCGCTCGATCAATGGTTATTACAATTGTTATAATTAATTATTATTTGAGCATTATTATATAATAACTATTTTTAGTAAAGTATATTTATTATTATATAGTAATATTTATTTTATTATTTTATGTTAATATTTTAAAATCTTAAAATCTATTTTATAATCTTAAAATCTATTTTAAAATCTACTTTAAAATAATATAATTACTTACTTTTCACTCTATTTGCACCCCTTACTTTTTTATCCAAACAACAATTTACCCCTCCACTTACAAACCCAGCAATTTACCCCTCAACTTGCACCCCCTCTGCAATTTGCACCCCTTGTTGCCAAACAGAGCGTAAATGTGTGCCTTCTGCTTATAAAAAGATTCTTTGACCTATTGCACCTCTGTACATTTTTTTCAAACTTACTCTTCTTCTCAATCAGATCTATCACAAGGTTAGCCAAAACATCAAGTTGAGTTTAATCAAGCAAAACCTCTACCTCTCTGGCCTCACTAGAAACATCATATAGGATTCTCTATTCCTAAGGGCTAAGAGTGTTTTTAACTTGCATTGGCTTTTTGCTTGTTCCACCAAGTGTGTCATTAACATGTTACCTTATAATTGTTAAGACGTTCTGTATATTCAATCCAGTGTCTAACATTAATCATACTTTGATTCATAATTTCCATGTTCAAAGCTTCAATAACATCAACCACTGCATTAAAATCTCCCATGAATACCCAAGAGGACTATTATTCTTGAAGAGACCTCAATTCTTGATATAACCTAACCCTCACATGCTCCTGGTTAGGAGTGTAAACAAACATCTGAGTAACCGAAACCTGACCTACCAGTTTAACTTTGAGATAATGTTTTGCAAGTATTGGCATAGCCACAAATTTGTCGAACTGGGGCAAAAAAAACAAAAAAAAAACAAAAAAAAACTAGTATACTATTATTATTCTAAGTAATTCAACGAAAATATTATTCTAAATTATGTTCACCTCTTTTCAAACACATTTAATTTGTAATTATTAATATAAAAATTCAATTGCACATAAATGATTAAATTGTAATTTCATCAAATTTTATTTATTATTTTTTAATTGCCACGTCACTAAATTAACGGTCAACTTTGAGAGTTGACTGCCACATGAGCCAAAGTTCATGGAGTTGGACGGAGAGTGACCAAACGTGAACGGTTTCAGTAAACTGAAGTACCACCAATAGATTTAAATATTTTGAGTGACCAAACTTGAACGTTTTTTGTAATCTCATTGACCAACCATACAATTAACCCATCCATTATTCATGTATTTTCAGGAAGAAAAAGTACCAATAAGTCAATAACTAGATTTGAGCTATTTACTATTGCTACTCGAGTTTATAATATTGCCGCTATCTCTATCTTTAAAATTTTCAACTTCTTTGGCTCCACCTATCACAGGAATTGAATTCTCCAATATTTACTACCTTTTCTTTTTCTAGTTTACATTTCCATAACCTAAATTTTAATTTTTAAAATACAATATCATTGAAAAATTACATTTTCGTACCTATAAATTTCGATTACAACATTTTAATATCTAAAACTTTTCAAATTTTATATATTGATTCGGTTTTATATGCCACTTGAATCCACGATCCACTGTGACGAAATCCCTCCCTTGTTACCTTTTTTACTGAAAGAGAATGAGTTGTTTAACTTTCTTTAACACGTAGGTAAGTTTATTTAGGCTGGGAGAGTGCAGGGAGAAAAGAGATCGCCCATTATTGGCAACCACCACAACTCCACAACCCTTTCCATTTCATCTCTTCTCACTTCCTACACGTCTCTCTCTCTCTCTCTATCCATCTACCCTACCTTTTTATCTCTCTAGCTTTATTTTTCCCCACATATAACATCTATAAAACCCCACCGTAACACCTTCATTCCCACCTCTGAGAGTCCCCCTCCCTCCCTCCCTCCCTCCTTCTCCATCATCCAATCTTCCCCCATTTCCCTCCTCCATTCATTACTTCAGAAAAACACAGGGTGGAGGTAAGAAAATGGTGAAGTTCTCAAAAGAGCTGGAGGCCCAGCTGATCCCAGAATGGAAAGAAGCTTTTGTCAACTACTGGCAGCTGAAGAAGCAGGTTAAGAAGATCAAACTCGCCCGCAAACCGAAACCCCCTCAACAAGTCGCCAACAGCACTTCCTCCGAATTCGGCTTCTCGATTTTCGACCCCATTCGATCCTACTTCTCCTCTGCTAGCTCCTTCTCCTCCACCACCGCCGAAATCATCAAGGTACGGTACCCTTCCTTCCTCTGTAGTACAGTTTGAGGATCGAACTCATGACCTTGATCGTATTGTTATTTACGACGATAATAAAATAGAAATGAATTACTATGGTTGTTGGAAGAAAAAAAAAAATACACAGTGGCATAGTTAGTGCCTGTAAAGTGTGTTATATGGTGGTGGGGATGGCCACGGCCTGTCCGTAATTAGATTAAAAATTAAATATTGTTGGGAGGAGAATTAATGGGAGGGAGTTTCATAAGTAACAAGTAATTATAACTTTATTAATATCATAATTGTTACATTACTTGTGTGAATTTGTTTAGTGCCCGTACTTGTGGGGAAAGTTGGCTAAAGGCTAGCTGGGGGAGGTATCAGGGAAGAAGAAAGTGTCGTCGTTTTGATTGTTTGGTTTTGTCGTTTTATTCGGGTTTTGAGGGGGTTTTATTTGGGTGCGTCTGTGTCGGCCTTTTGTGCTTGTGCTTACGTAACCACAGAGATTTAGTTTCAGCCGTCAAGTGTGTCTGTCACTCTTCCTCTTCTCACCACTCAAAAAAATCAAATCAAATTTATGGGATCCATTCCACGTATTTCCTTTTCCCAATTACTGGACAATTTCCACCCTGTAACCCTTTTCCCATTTAATTACCGCCCATATTAAAGCAAACTACAAAAAAAATCATAAGATAACAAGTCTCGATTGTACTACTAAAATATAAGTATACCTACAGTACGTGAACAAGCTCACAAATTGGATGTTTCTATCTTATATTTTTATAACCAAATATGTAGAAATTCGTGGTTTTTACCCGTTAATATTTAGTAAAATATCATTCGAATAACGGTAATAGTAATTATGACTACACGAGCAACGATAGTTAACGGTAGCCTACCTTTTTTTTCCCTGGACACATGAGCGTTTGACAGAACTAAATATTATTCTTCTTCTATAGCCACGACCCATCACGAGGAGAAATATTTTTCCTCCATTGCCATTTTGCACGACGAGCTTCTTCATTTGTCGACGGATTCGTTCATCGAATTAAAATCAAACAAACATCCGTATTAAAATAAAGTTTGGGAGACATGCATCAAATATGGGGGAGGGGGGTGGTTCCAAAAACATGCATGAAAACCACATAAGAAATGGAGTGTCACAGACAAAATGCAAGGTGTGGAAACGGTTACACACAAATGTGTGTGATCATAAGCATCGCTGTGTTAGCTAGCTGTTGAAGGGATCACGAAAGTATCGTGACAACATACCAAGAAATAGGGCAAAAAGTGGTAGATAAAAACGAACCCACAACACACAAACCATGAAAAAGACGACTATAGGCCCCAAAAAGAAACGGCAGATTTTATACATATAAGTAAGACTGACGACGTTTCGGTGAATCCTTGGTTACAGGTGCGAAGGAAAATGATGGCTGGCTCCGACCATGAAGTCTACCAAACCGACCTCGTCCACCTCTTCTCCGAGGAAGACGAGGTATGTATATATTCATCGTAAATTAAGCGACGTGCATAATAATATATATGTATCGCACGTTACGATGGTTAATTATTTATAAAAAAATGTTTGTGAATGTGGATTATAAGGTGAGGGCATTTTTCGAGAAGTTGGATGGAGAGCTAAACAAGGTGAACCAGTTCTACATGGCGAAAGAGAAGGAGTTCATGCAGAGGGGAGACATCCTCAACAAGCAGCTGGACATACTGATGGACCTCAAGCGGATTCTCGCCCAACATCGTCGTTGTGCGAAGTCTTCTTCCAACAACTCTAGTGTTAGTGGTGGCGTCTTTTCTCGCTCGTGGTCGTCTTCGCCGCGTACCTCTGACTTCTCCGGTGAGTAGAATTTTTTTCTTCTAAGTTATTATTGATTTTTTTTTTTTTTTTTGCATATTTATTTGGTTTAATGAAATGATTTTGGCTTACGAGAGTCTGCTGATTCTATTTTGTCAAAGTCATGTCTCTGTCGAGAGAGAGATGTGGAATTTTTATTTTTTGTTTTTTTTTTTATTATAAATGAGATGGAATTTCGATTTGGATTGTTCTTTAGGATTTGGAATTCATTGCTGTAAAGGCCCACCTCGGTAGTGTTTGTGGAACATGCTTTTCCATGTTTGCTTCTTTCTTTATTTTGCCTAAAATAATGAAGACACTTAGTGGTGAACACCCCAGAAAAACAACAATTCTACCGCTCTAGTGCTCGAGCAGATTGTAAGTACGGGACTCGTTTGTTAATAATTTATATTCATATTGCTCAACATAAGATAAAAAATATATATATATATATAGTAAGGCTCCACTAAGTAATGAAATCAATTTTGAAAACAAGAAAAATCTATCCACTTTTTTTAGATAGCACAACATAAAATATTAAAAATTTACCCCCCAAGTAATAAAATCCTAAATTGTAAAGGCCCACTACATAAGTTGTATAGCTCCATATAAGTTTAATATAGTCGAACCCAACACCATAGAGCTCGCATAATAATGATAATAAAACTCTTAGGCAAACAAGAGTTCAATTTTGGGGTATTATCGCTAGTCTTCAAGTTGAAGATCGCAAGTTTGAACCCATTAAGTAACACTTAACAATAAAAGCACATCTATGTCACTCTCTTCAAAATGTAATAATAGTAAAAACTATTAACGAAATAAAGTAAGAATAAAAGCATGCAGTGTGATAGTGGAAGTTTTCAGTTTTCACCAATAATGTTGGGAGGCGAGTTATTCGGGCTCGATGGTTTGATTTCGTGTTACTACTACTAGTACTCAATTTGGAAATTACATATTCTAATTCATTAATCAGCACTTAATAATAAAAACAAACTTTTTTAGAAAAATAATAATAGTTGAAACAAAAAATAAATGAAAAGCAGACTGTGGGACAAAATGGTAGTGGAAGTTTTCACTGATGTTCTTCACTATTCACGAAATGGACGGTCGGCTCATACAAATTTTTTTATGTCTCTCTGTGTTTCCTCCATAAATGGAAATGCCCGGCATGAAATGAAACAAACGGATGCGCGGGCGGTTGAGTCTGAATCGCAAAATCCTCCTCTTCCCCTTCTCTTCCCACTTACTGATTTGGAGATAAGGCTGCATGCTTCCATGCCTTTGCCTTACCAGGTTTTCTATGTTATTTTCCGTCCACGTCTGATATACATACAACACATGTTCACAAGCAAACACTGCTTTCCTTTCGCTTTCCGGAAGCAAAAAAACAAGATCAACAAATCTTTAGCTTGTCCACTTTAGCCGTCTGTGTGGTTTTTCTCCATATGCATCGTCAAACCGTGTAGAACGATAACGATAAAACTGACACAAGGAAGCTAACTTGTTAGTTTATATTGCGAACAAGAATTTGATCCGGTGATAATACCATTAAATTTTAATATATGAGGGTTTGAAATTTGTAACTGTAAGTAGTACCTAATTAAAAATTAAACCTATGTTAATTTTTTATATAAAAAAATAGTGTTGTACTGTTAATGTGACTTGGCCTGAACCCAATACTCATTTGTCTCTCCATAATTGTCACCTCTTCATTATTCACACAACCAGACCGAAACCGCCGCCAATCATATCTTGTTTCCTACAAATTCAACGCCACCACCCACTACGTCATTTTTGGAATTAAAAAAAAAAAGATTTGAGTTCTGGTGAAGGATGATTTTTCATTCACCATGACTTTGTAGTGGGCACATAAGTTGGTTCTTAACTTCGGGACTTTACTCATCCAAGGAAAAATTGACACTTTGTTGATCGAAATTAATCCAATTCCAATTTTTTCTACTTCATAAAAATATATTGGAACTTAAATGACGATATGATCCTTCTTCTAGCTTCCTAGATATGGTTAAGAATGACCTCTTGTTTAAAGCCGATGGCGTGAATATCTTGTTCCTTCTCTGTCAAGGTCATCTTATTCGGTAGATTCCCAGTGAACTTAGCATTCCCTCTTGTACCATACCCTTCTATTTCTTCAATTTAGAAGTAGCGACACTCGTCGATTGTGAGAGAAACTTGAGCTAATAAAATCACAAACACGTCTGTATTTGATCATTTTGATTATTTGACTAGGTTCCTCTCTGGTTCTATTTGATATGGTCCGAATTTCGTTTTCACTAGAAGCTAGTAGAAGACAAAGTGACTAAATTCTTGTTAAACTAAACTATTGGGGTTCAAAAAAAAAAAAACTGTACGTGGATGCAGAGTCCGGGTTGGAAAGCGAGTTGACAGGCGGGGAGACGCCGAAATCGGAGCAGTCGGAGACGGAGGAAGTCATTGCCGCACTGGAGAAGAACGGGGTGAGTTTTGTGAACTCCAACACGAGGACGAAACTGAAGAAAGGAGGAAGCGGCGGTAACAACAACAACAACAAGCCGAAGATGGCACTGAGGGTGGACATCCCGGCGACAACGCCGACGAGGACGATCACAGCTGTCACGTCGATGCTGTGGGAGGATCTGATCAACAATCCGAAGAAGGGTGAATCCGGCGGCGGCGGAGACCACATCAACAGGAAGAAGATTCAGTGCGCTGAGAAAATGATTCGAAGTGCTTTCGTCGAGCTGTACCGAGGCCTTGGCCTCCTCAAAACTTACAGGTAAAAAATAAAAAATAAAAAACTTGAAGTGTAAAATTATTGTGACGATGGGAAGAGAAGCAAACAGGAATGTGTCTTTATTAGGTTAGGTTTGTGGACATTGCTTAAAATGCACAGGCAAAAATATGTTGTAATTAACTGCTTTGTGTTTATCTTTCTGTTTTGTGGTTTGGCAGCTCACTCAACATGGTGGCATTTACAAAGATCCTCAAAAAATTCGACAAGGTAATTTAGTTTATGCATTTCTTAGTTTGTAGTTTCTGGTTTTACTATGTAAGATTATGTTGTATGGGAATTAGGCAGCCACCCCCCTCTTAATTCCTTGGATTTGGCTAATTTATTGTTCAAATTTATAGGTGGCAAACCAGCAGGCATCACCTAGTTACTTAAGAGAAGTCAAGAAATCTCACTTCATTAGCTCTGACAAGGTACTTACAAATTCGAACATGTACAATTATCTCATTCGCTTCTAATTTCGAGATTTGGCTACGATTCTTATACGAGTTATTGTAAGAATGTCGTTATATTTTTAGGTCGCGAATCTTGCGACTCACAATCGTGAGATTTACACAATATTTGATTTTTTTTAAAAAATTGTCACTAAGTCCCATCTAATCGTTGTGAAGTATCAAACATTTACGCGTTAAACGTTATTAATTATGAGGTCCTTACAAAACCCTTACACAAGGATGCTAACCAAATTGTCCTTTTTTTTTCTTCTTCTTCTTCTTCTTGTCTTTGACAATGGTTAACAACAACAAAAAAAGGCTGTAAGGCTGATGGATGAAGTGGAGTGCATATTCACAAAGCACTTCGCCAACAACGACAGGAAGAAAACAATGAAGTTCCTCAGACCCCAGCAACAGAAAGAGTCTCACATGGTCACATTCTTCGTTGGTAACTAAACAAACCAAATTCCCGTTTAAGTCACTGATCTTTCTTACTCAATTCTCACAAGTCCACCTACTTACTCTAATATTCTCCTGGCTCCTTGTTTTGACATTTTTCTTTCCCCTTAGGCCTTTTTACGGGTTGTTTCGTGTCACTCTTCAGTGTCTACGCAATCTTGGCACATCTCTCTGGCATCTTCAGCCCTACCACAGGACGATCCTACGTCGAAACCGTGTACCCAGTTTTCAGCGTGTTTGCGCTGTTGAGCTTGCACTTGTTCATGTACGGGTGCAACTTGTTCATGTGGAAGGCCACGAGGATCAACCACAACTTCATCTTCGAGTTCCAGCCCAGCAATTCCCTCAAGTACAGGGATTCCTTCCTCATCTGCACCACTTTCATGACATCCGTCGTCGGGGCGATGGTGATCCATCTCCTTCTACGGGCTGCCGGGTTCTCGCCTAGCCAGGTCGACGCCATACCTGGAGTTCTCATCTTGGTAAGTGTTAGAGTATATTGTACGTGCATGGACCATGCATGACTCGACCTGAAATTGGACGTCTTTAATTATCATCCATGTTGCTGAGTTTGGTTTACTTTTGAACATTTTGAAGATCTTCATAGCACTGTTGATATGTCCATTTGACATCTTGTATCGCCCGACGCGGTACTACTTCCTCCGGATCATGCGCAACATTGCATGCTCTCCTCTCTATAAGGTACCAACAACTCGAACTATTGTGATTAAGTGATTTTTTGTTGTTGTTGACATAGTAAACAATGGTTTAGTACAAAGGATAATATGTTCGGCTTGTGCAAACTGAAATCCAGAAATAGGCTTTCGTTTAAAGAGCGTGCAAAAGATAAAAGTTTATACAAACATTTTCCCAAGAAATCGAGTTATTGGATCTTAGCTGCTTTTTTCGTTAACACACGGTTATTTTGTTGGTTTGCACAGGTTCTATTGGTGGACATCTTCATGGCGGACCAACTTACTAGTCAGGTAAAATAATTGATCTTCAAACGAAACCATTAATAAGTAAACCCTACGTACGTTTCCCTAGTCAATTTGGTTGAAAATTAAGTTTAATCTTTTTATTTTCTTTTTTGTTCAACAGATTCCACTACTAAGGCATATGGAATCCACCACATGCTACTTCATAGCAGGCACTTTCAAGACGCATAGATACGAGACGTGCAACTCTGGAAAGCTATATCGCGACCTTGTCTATCTCATCTCCTTTCTCCCATACTACTGGAGAGCCATGCAGGTTTATCACTTACTCAACTCCTAGACAAAACGACTCTTATCATTTCGATTTCGATCTTCAAACTGACATCCACTTTTTTCCTTGTTTTTTACATCACCAAAGTGTTTGAGAAGATACATCGAAGAGTCCGACGTAAACCAGCTGGCTAACATGGGGAAGTACGTGTCGGCAATGGTGGCAGCCGGTGCTAGGTTGACATACGCCAAGAAGGAGAACCATCTTTGGTTCGCCATCGTCTTGGTCACTTCTGCTTTTGCTACCATTTATCAGCTCTACTGGGATTTCGTCAAGGATTGGGGACTTCTCAACCCTAAATCGAAGAACAAATGGCTCAGGGATGACTTGATCTTGAAGAACAAGAGCATCTACTACATGTCCATCGTAAGATCTTCTTACTACGTATCCATGCAATGCATGCCATGGTTTTAACTACGCATACTAACTCTCTTTTTTTTCCCCGAAAATTTTGCTAGGGCTTGAACGTGGTTCTGAGAGTTGCATGGGTGGAAACGGTGATGGGTTTTCGTTTCAAAATGGTGGAGTCGCGAATGTTGGATTTCTTCTTGGCTTCTTTGGAGGTCATTCGACGAGGGCACTGGAACTTCTATCGGCTGGAGAATGAGCATGTGAGCAATGTGGGAAAGTGCAAGGCGGTGAAGCCTGTTACGGTGCCGTTTCGTGACGCGGATTCTGATTGATGGATGAGATGGGTTGATTTGGTTATATTGTGGAGGTCGACTTCCATGACAGAGCTGATGAATTGGGATTTGGATTTCCATCAGCTGGCATAGCTGAAAGCCAAGGGATTTTCAGTACTTTCCTCCAGTAATCAAAGATGCACAAATCTCAGTCACAAGAAAGCAAGAGTTTGTGTGCATTATTATCCTTGTCATTTTTTCGCAGAAGCTAATTTTATTCTGTGAGATATTGTAAAGCATGTCTAATTTTAATGAGAAAAATGTGGCAATCCAAGAATGATGATAATATATGTATTTGTCGCGCCCATATAAAGTTTTGATTTCCAGTTTCATGTGAAAATTGTATGTTTTCCGGCGAGGAAAATCTGGTGTTTGATTTCAATCAATACACTTTTGATTTCTTGAACAACGATTCTAAACACGGTTCACACCTCTTCGAACAATGTTCGAACGAGGGTGTTTGAAGTTTTTTATGGTTTTTTGGGAAAAATCTAAGTTACGTTACTCCTACTCCTATGGAGGTTCAGTGAGAGCTCCGAAAACTAAGGCTATGTCTAATTTGCAGAGAAAATATAAAAGTTTGACATTGTGTGTCAAATGGTTGGTTGTGCAACCCTTTTCTCGTCTTCGTTTCTCCTATTTATAGCCACCGGGTGTAACTGCCTTGGTAACCGTCGTAGTAACTACTAGCTGGCCTCTTGCTCCAAACCACCTCGGGGTCCCTTGTCGCCGCCTCGGTGACTAGTTGGTAACCGTCGCCTTGGGACCCTTGTCCCGCCTAGGGGCTGGTGGGTACTGGAGATCGATCTCGATGTTGGGTCGGGTTGGTGTTGAGCCTCTTTGCCTTAACCTCCATGATGAAGTCTTGATCACATCCTCGACAGCCCTGACGATGATAGAAACATATTTCTAGAGTTGTATCGATTGGGTTATGAAATTGAAAATTGGTAGAGATTTAGGGATTAGAAGAGAATTTGGGAGGAAGATAGAGAATCGGCCTAGGCCTTTAGAGAGATTAAGATCGAGAATTGAGAGGATTTGGAGATTGGGATTTAGGAGAGTTTTCTTAATATTCTTCTTATTTATTGAATAGACGCATAACAACGTACATTTATACGAAAAGAACAAAAAAACCCTAATTAACAATTAACCAATATGACTATAAGACTAATTACCTTAATATAATAATAATTATAGAAATCAAACGAAATTGGTTTCTATCATCCTCTCCCCATTGAGACCAAGCTTGCCCTCAAGGTTGACCAAATCAATCAATATTATTAATCCTATCGATGTATGGAGCCGAAAGAATAATGATAGCCATGCCCGCACTTGTCTCTATAACTTGAGCGGCCGATGAAACCGATCCCATCGTCGTGGTTGGATCGTCGTGCAACTGTCTTGATTGGCGGAGTGTGGCCATCGTCGAAGTGCCTTGGCGGAGGCCAGTACCCGCCATCATCATACTCACGTTCATCTTCATATGAGTCATTCCAGCTCTGTTCCACGAGATACACCTGTCCTAGCTTTAACAACGTCGTCGTGCGGCCCTGGTAGACACGATAATTAGTCTGTTTGGTTCGCCTTGTTGACTCGTGATCCAACTCATGCTGGTCCATTGGATCAAACCAATGTTGGTTTGGTTGGGCATATTTGCTCGAAGGGCTCGAGCCATAACCCACCGATCCATACGGCTTCCGAACTGGCCCATTCGGTTGCTTCACGCCGCAATCGAACACGGTCCATAATTGTGTGCCTTGTAGTGTTGTACCAGCCTGGAACGGATCACTTCTTGCTTCCCAGTGTCGAAGTCGGGGGAGAAGTCCTGCCCCGCCAACTTCCTTTGCCACCTAGGGTAGGAGTCGCAACTTCGTTGATCACCGGAGCTATCAGCGGTATCGGGAGTAGTACAATTTCCCAAAATATGGCTAACTAATGGAAAACCAACACCGAGTGGTTGCCCGCCAATCTGTGGAGTCACTGTTGTAGTTGGCACATCAATGGAGTCCTCTAGGACGGGAGCCGTGTGTATCTCTGCCAATGGTTGTGGTGGGGTCATCTGACACGCTATGACACAACTCCTACAAATGGCATAGTGTAACCAATGAAAGGGACTGCAGTATAGTGGCTCAAGTAATAAATATCGAATCCACGGGTCTCTAGAGTTACTATTACTCATCTTCAGTTCATTATCTAACAAACCAGATTAAGATGGAAGAACTAAAACCACTCTAACAAACTACAGTTAAAGTTAATCTAATTACAGGTTGGGAACTCACATAGGTATGATTCCCCCTAGCCACTAGCCAGATTAATGATTGATGATTTCTAACTTGTTTCACTTTCATTCACAATGCGGAGAATCCTTGACTAGACCTTGAATCTCGACTAAAGGATCAAAGCCCTCTTGAGTCGATTGCCTAGAGGGACGTATCCTTCTCTAGAACAACCGATCAAGGTGTTCTGAACTAGACTCCCTCTATCGAATGAGGTTCTCAATCGATACAAAGCAGTGAATCAAACCTCGACTAAAGCAATCGATCCAATACTATCAATTTATGGTGCTCTATTGACCTAATCAGGTATTCGCTCTCATAGGATCAAAGCAGAATCAATAATCTCGACTAAAGCGAATTGAATCATGAAAACGTACATAGATTGAATATGAATTCAAGATTATCAAGTAGAAGTACTCATAAAATCATCCAATCAAACAAACATAGCTAGGGTTCCTCAAAACCTAAGTGAGGGAAGTTACACCATAAAGAAGAGAGAGACTGCAGTAAGAATCTTCAGATGATGAGTCTTTAAGTCCTGGCATGTTCCTCGAGCTTCCAAGGCGAAGAAATCCTCCAATAACACTCCAAGAATGCCCTCAAATCGCCCTCTCTCTCTTTGGTTTGTCCATTGGGGTGTTTGGGATCCAAAACCCAGCTCTCCCTCTCCAAAAACGCACAAAACAGGCTTTTAACAGCCTGCTTTTGCGACCCGGTCAGGTATTTTGGGTCCCCGGCCGGGTATTTTTAGTTCACGATCGGGGGGCCTTCTGATGCTGTCAAAAATACCCTATCAGATGGTCAAAATACCTGGTCAGGTATTTTGCAGTTCCGGGTCCCCTATCTTTGATTCTTTGTTTCTCCCTCGTTCGGACTCCAAATCAGGGTCGTTTGATCTCAGACGCTCGTAGTCTCGTCCTCTTTATTCTCATGACAAGCTTACATGATTCTATGGTCACAAACGGAGTTAGAAATCAATTCTTTTTCAAGTCATACCCGAGTTTCTTCCCTCGAGTCGTCAATTGATCTCCAATTTACTTGAAACTTGCGCTTACGCTTCACTTTATGTGCTAGGACCTGAAATGTGACAAAGGAACAAAATCTAGCGTAAAATAGGCCAAAGAAGCGATAATGCAAGCTTAAATGATCAAGAAACAAAGGGGAAAACATGTGCAAATATCAAGTCATCAAATCCCCCACACTTAACCGTTTGTTTATCCCCAAGCAAACCTAACTCAAACCAATGCATCTCTACAGACCTCTATAGCAACATGCACCCTCGATCGTTGATAAGGGATTTTCTAGATCATTTAGCAGCTTACGAGGTCAACTGATGCACAAGTCATCTCATAAATTCTTCTGCGAGAACGCCAGTCTCAAATCGGCATCATGGCAAATAGTGACCAGAGGACAAATAAATCGTGGAATAATGGACTCTCAAAACAAAAGATCATGGACTTGAATTTTTAAGGTGCTCTATTTTCTTCTTGAAGATGGTTGGATCCACTTTTCTATCTTTTTTTTCTTGTTTTCTGTTTTTTTCTTTTTTCCTTTTCTTTTCAAGGGTTCCAATCTGTTTTTCAGAAAATGGGGGCTCCCACCTAGTAGAGGTTTTGCGGGAGCCCGGCTCTTACCGGCCATGCCAGGAGCGGATATCTCGAGCCTCGTGCGGGGGAAAGAACTGTAAGGGGGCTGGAGGTAGTAGGTGGAAATTGGGAACGGATTCCCGTCTCCCCTTACACACTTTCGTCCTATTTGCACGGCAGACGTTATTTTAAAGCACATTTTCGAGCACCTTTTATTTCAAAACATGGTATAGGAGTCCATGACTGGTAGAGAGTCCACAATACCACACAATTGAAGGGTCCTAAGATCACCTATTCACACAATCAACCAACACAATATGAAGAAGAAAGGAGACTTCTTAAATGCATCAACATCCTCCATAGTGCTACACTACCTCCCTAGTTTGCATATTACTATAGAGACTGTCAATTCAAAGCATACTGAGCAGGAAATTATAAGGAACACGTACTTGGAGCCCTCAAATTGAAATTTGGACAGTGGACTAGGCTCCAAGCACATACATACAGCCAGACATTCACACTCATACATAATCGAACATCGACCCACACTTAAGCACGTCATTGTCCTCAATGGAGGAAAGATAAGGAAGGTAGAACGAAGTTACCAAATCAAGGGTGAATGATGGTAGACGGGGCAGACGATGAATTCCAGGAGGAGAGAGTAGTCGGAACACAAACACCATACAATATTTCACAAAGGTTGAGTTATTGACTCTAAAATCAAAGAACAAAACTGACTCAACCGAGGAGAAATAGAGAAAGAAATGCAAACCGACTGGTTGGGTTGCCTCCCAACAAGCGCTTCTTTCACGTCGTGAGCCGGACGATGGATCCTAAGTTTCGGTCCACCCTAAAACCTCTTTGAATTTGAGATTCTCGTCGATGAGATGGAGTCTCAAGTCACGAACATGTGGTGTGACAGGTGATGGAAGCTCGTGCACTTGATGAAGATGAAGTCTCCACCCTCGAGACCTATTTTTCTCTTCTCTCGTCTCATTGCCCGAAACCAGATATGACAACAACGATTGACAACCATCGCGTCCACCAAGATGGATCGATGTCGATGTGGCCTTGGTCTGGCAAAGAGACATTGCAAATAGGTCCTTGCTAAGCAGTTCCTCGAAGTTTGGTGGGGATA